TATAATGCTTTTAATTTTTTTAAAACTTTTAAAGTTATTCAAGTTCTTTAGCCGTCCTATTAGTTTGGTATGACAAACATGTCGGGTGTCATTACTCTGTCACAGAAAGCAATTAATTGGACTTTTTATTACATAATTCCATTTGCCAAATATTGCACTGAAGTACATAGAAGGCTCAGCATGTTTTCTAAAAAATATAGATAAGCAGCAAAAGGTGAAGAGTTGTCAGCAGACCAAACGAATGCAAATTAGTTTTGATAAAACTGCGAGGCCTCGTGATTCTGAAGTCTAATGAACTTTGAAATTGCGTTTTCTCGAATGTATGAAATTGTATATGTGAAGCAGTAAAGGAAACTCCATTAATTTCAACGTTTGGAGAGTGGTTTTTACATTTAAAATATTTTTCAATCAGAAAAGGATAAGTGTTTTTTAAAATTTTTATATTACAACATCAGGAATCTAGCAAAATCGGCGACGATAACTTCGGAAATATCTCTTGTTAGCTCTTACATTTAGTAATGATTATGGACCCGAGCAAATTTCACAATATAATATTTAACAATAAGCTTAGTGGGGCTGTTTAGGCGGGTAAATTTGTTTTGAAAATTTTAATTTGTACCATGAATGTTTCAAATAAAACGAAATTTTAAAACATACATAATCTTGCCTTTTTTATTCTTGAACATAAAAAGTTGAAAAGTGTAAAAAAATCTTACATTGAAATATTTAAAAGTATTTCATAACTGAATTTGATTTAATTACAGTCGATGTGATACATTATGTGCTAACGTTTATTTTTTTGCAAGAAAAATAATAAGTAAACTCAGCTTTATGATTTTATTGATGTTTCGAAATCCTGCAAATCATGTTTTCCATGATTTCTTTTAGAGTATTTTATAGTGATCAAATTAAAAATCAGACAAATCGATTCGTCTTGTGGATTACCAAAAAGTGCTATAGATACTAGTAGGTAACTGTAGATCGATGTGTTTTTATGTAGAGAAGAAGTGCATAAAACTTTACATTGTTTTGAGATTCAATGACTGCTGCAGCGTATGACTTAGATATTTAATTTATCGTTGGTCATTTCCATTGTGGTAAAATCGTTTCTCTTATTTATCATTAAGAAACAACAGTGGTAATTTAGAATAGTTGCAATGAGATGAAGTAATGAACAGCTTGTACTCACGCCAGGTAATTAAACTAAAACAATATGTAGATACAACTGTATGAATAGACATACAAAACTGGCAAATGTACAATTGAAAATGAATATTTTAATTAACTCTTAATATTTGAGATCCTAAATGTGCAAATAAGCTTCACGGCAATTTCATAGAAACTAAAATACGCATTTCAAACAAATTTAACAATTTGAAATATTTTGTGTTGTGAAAGAGTACATTCCTTCTAGGGGTGACTCTCTTGGGCGCATGAACCCGTTAGCTTCGACTGAATGGACATCAAGTGGAGATACTTTCCGCAGCTCGAAGCCCTTTCGTCATCGAATCAGAAGCGAGCGATTTACTCTCGCGCGGTGACAGACGCGCTCGCCGGCGGGCAACGGGCCGTGGCGTTGTTTTGCTGCTTCGCAGTGTCCGAACGGGTCGTTCGCGACAAATAACCGCGCGAGAGAGAATATCTTCCGCTAGGGGGGTCGCGTGCCATCCCCCCTCTCCCGCCGCGAGACCATTCAGTTCGGAGCCAGCATTGCCTCTGCCTGTGCAGCGATTCAGACCGGGGAGTTCTAGGTTCGAGGATTGCCTTTTTTTATCCTGCTGGCGGCGTTTTGATACTAGCTAGAGAGTGAGGTAGAATTAGTCGCTCTCTGGAGGAGATTTCTAGCAGTCGGATCGAGAGTTTTCCGCTGTTTCTTCGATCGATACCAGGCGAATGCCGGAGCAGTACCTTAACAAACGGGTCGCGGACCGCGTCTTTCGTTCTCATTCCGTGCCTCTCCTACTCCAAACACACACGCATACACTAAACACATGCCGGGAGACCGATGTGGAGTTTAGAGCTCGTCTTGGTTGGGGCGGTGCCTCGCTGATGGGAGACACCTGGTTGGGGAAAACCTCGCTACCCGACCGTCGGTCGGCACCGGATGTCACCCTCCAGCGGGGAAAGATCACCGCCACCTTCCGGGCAAAACAGCAAGCACTACACTTAAGGGCATAATAGGTTTAGAAGTTGACGCGCCCGGAATCGCTATAATAAATCTCGCGTGGGAGTTAAGATCGCTGTAGCGAGGAACGCACAATGACGGGCAGTGCACAAGACGTGATATTGTGATGGTTTTTATTTTTCCATTAATAAATTATCTTAATAGAGGGAAGTGAAATTATCTATTGAATTATTTATTTGGGGCCGATGATTCTATGGCATTCATCATAGATTTGAATATGGGAACTTACTGAAATGTCAAACCAAAACGCTTTCAGTTTCAAAATAAAAGAGAACATTTAACTGTAATGAAGATAACAACATTTACATAATACTGTTTTTATAATCAAAATTTAAATAATATTAATATAACTAAAAATAATGATACAACAATTAATTAATTCAACAAATTTTCAGAAGAGATTCTACGTTTACCTGCTTTTCTTCTCAATATCCAAATATATGTATACTTCTCACCATCGACTCTTCTAAATATTCCAGTGCACCCACTTTTCTTTAACATTGTCCTTAATCTAATTCTTAACATTATCGACAAGAGCTAATTTTTAACACATTACCCCTCGCACACCCAAATTTCTCACTGACTCATACCACTGTCACTGAAAACTCCTATTTATCGTATACGCCTTCATTTTAGAACGTCCATTTCTATCTCTGGTTATTGATTTCAATTCTCTTCTCACGTCGACTGTCTTCAAGACAACATTGCCGACTTGCGTTTCTATTTAAGTTGTCCATGCATTAACTTATAATCTTGATATTAATTATGTTCGAAATAAAACATTTAATTTCAACTCATTACAATACGGAATGCTATAACTATCCCCTGCAATATCTTGTAAAGCTTGGAATGTGTAATGATTCAAACAGATCGAAACTACATGTTTCGTTCGTTTGCAAGCAACTTGATATCCTACTGTAATATTTTTAAAGATAAAAATAAAATAATATATTGTGACGTACCTGGGAAGCGGTACTTTCACGATTAATAAATTATGTAAGGGACAGGTACATTTTCGTGAATGGTCTCCAGATTTGTGCGCGCAAGCATAGGAAGATAATCGTTATATGGATTCTTTTGCACATCTAAATATTTTAATAGATCAGAGACACACGTTTACAAGATAGGTATTTACAAAGCCAATGCGCAGAGAGCCTTTGGAAACAAGCGCCCTGGTCAACGCTACTTGATGTTTCAAAAACCACTGCTTCTCTGGAAGGAGGCACGGGGGCGTCGTGGCAACGGCGGCGGTGGCTTCGCAGCTTCGTTCGCCCCGAAGTCGCGTCGGGAATTTCGCCTCTCGCTCGCGACAAGATCCTCTGGCCACCGTAACGGGCCGATGAATTACGCCGGAGGTCGCACCCAGCCGGTGTGAACAATGTCTATCACGGGTACTGGAGCACGACGCGTGGAATTGACTGTTCGTGGTTGTTTCGTCTTTTTGCAGCAACCTTTTCTCAATTGACGCGAATGTGCCGTAAGCACTGCCACTGTTATATTATACCAGGGCGGGATTATACCACCAGCCAACCGGCCACACGAATTTTCCTGTCTTATTGGTCCTTATCAGTTCTGGTAGCAATTCTAACTTCCTAATCATCTGAACTTGTTAATGCCTTATCAAACTGGTTTACACATTCAGCGGCCTACACTCAGTCGAAGACTGGGGCACTTACAACGACAATAAATCTCTTGGACGCAACACTGCTCCGTCCGTGCTTGATCGCGGCTTCCGGCCCACTAAGCCGTCGCTCGCTCGGCGTTTCCCCCCGATTTGAACCGTTGGTGGCGGGCGGGCCGGGCGTTATTGCGGCTGATCAACTTCAGTATTTATTTTAATTTATAATTGGTGATCATTTTAATTGTTCTAATTCCAGAAACGTTCTTCGTTTCAATATATAAAAAAATAAAATAAATATAGGCTAATGTAATCAAATATCATGTCACCGAGCAATATCTGATGATTTAAACCAGAATGCACGGAAAGTTGTGTGACAATTATTTGTAAATTTTCCGTCTATCACACTTTTGAAACATTATAAAGAAAGAAATGCGCCAGTTGAACGATGTAAGAATGTAATACATTCCTTATTCTGTGGATAAAAAAATGATCTTTCCTCTTATAGCACTTCTACATTTTCATAATCCTAACAAGCGTTGACTTATTAGGGGGTTGGACTCGGACACCTGAATTTGGCAACAACAAGAATGAGTATTTACATATGAATTCAAGTACAATAACAAAAAATTTCAGAAACATAAAAAACTGCCAAGCTACTCATCTAATCCATCTTGCTGAAGAATAAAGTTTTAAGTTGTTTTTGCAAAGCTTTCTGGAAATGTTCTTTGAAATGATGTACCATGTATGTTAGAAAATGTGATTTTACATCGGAAATTATTTAGATTCATAAAAAATGTAAACATCAATATATATTGAAATATTTAATCGAGCTTTCTTTGTGTTTCTCTACTCCATTCTTGTCTGTATATACGATCTATTGCTAAAATATTTTAAATAAAAATATAAGCAGTTCTGTGGTCGTGAAAATATCGATAAGAATCGGCCAAGATATCTGTAAAGATATCGGCAAAGATAAGAAAGCCGAATCCATCTAAAACAATGTGTTTTAATCGATGGCAATTCAAATCATCATATTCCGATCCTTAATTTGTTCCGCCCGTTTCTAAAACATTCGAACAGAGAATCTGTTCAACTGTTCACCTCACTTCATCTGATGCAGAAGTACTTAGTGTTAGCGCAGACATCGGAAATCCGCTAACGCGTATTTCATTTTTTTTAGGCTTTCGCCGCACAATGAGAAGCGAACGCAAACCACTTGTAGCAAACGAAGCCGAGAGCGATGCCAGCGCTGCGGCGCGCCGCGCCCGGGCAGCATCCACTTTAAGCAGGGCTGAGCGCAGTTGACGATGTAGCTCGCCGACTGAATTGGAAACGGCATCTCGCCGAGCAAGTAATGCGGCCATTGTAGAGGGCGGAAGCACAGCAGGCTCGAGTGTCGGCATTCAGCGCAGCCTCTCCACGCGATCCAGAAACTATTAAAATCGTGTTCTCGTCGGGGGAAAGGACGGCGCCCAGGCCAGAGAGTGCGGGGAGAGCAGGCACTTGATTGGGACTCTTTTGTTTCATCTGGTTCTCCATGCTATTCAGACGTAACTGTCGATTTGGAATCTTGTTTATTAAAAAAAAAGATCGCGTGCTTCGAACGAATGTATTTTTACGTGTCTCATATCACTCAGTACACTTATTTACACTTACAATTTATGCCAATAAGTCTAATAAAGTGAAAATTAAGTATAATAAATATCACACTTTATGTCTGCATATACCTAGCAGGTCATTCTTGATCGTGAAATGTCAACAACAAGAGAGTAAGCTTGCGATTTGATACGTAAACTGCCCAATTCGATTTGTTTCGAGGAAGAAAGCGAGGATCGACACGATAATAGTGTAGGTGAACTATAAAAATTCAGCAAATCTATTTCTATACGATTAATATAACATGTTTTACTACATAACTCGTAACATTTGTGTATGATGTATTGTATTAACAACCTCATAGCGTCTTTTTGACATCTCTGTTCTTGACTTTTGTTTGCCATCTGCGTGTAGTGAATCTTTTGTTTGCAAAGCCAATCATTTATATAAAATTGGATCGGACAAAAATTCTGTGTAGTCAATTCCAGGTATTTTTCTGAAAGAAAGTGAGCTTTTCATAAAATTTTGTGAATCAGACTATTCTGTGAAGTGAGCTTATGGGAATATTTTGTGAAGTTGAACAGTAAGAAAAAAAGAGGAAAAACTAGAGAAAGTTATTTTACGACGATGCATCGACTCAAATCCTCGTTTATAGCTATTTTACTATTCTTTTTACGTTCCTTCGAGACCTATTCAAAGAACTGTTCTCCGCAGCAGCTAGAGCATTCATTTTTAATCTTGTGAGTCAAATGCTGCAAGAGGTTTTTATTCTTTACCGCAGTAGTACAGTGCGCCTGGAAAGTCCCTGCGCCGAACGAGCTGAATCAAGGCCTCCTATTAAAAATTAAATGTATGTTGGTAGCAATCAAATCACTGGAAAACAGATGAAGGGGACACGACTTCCAGCATCCACTGTTGGGAGTTGGATTGTTGTCAGTTGGCAATTTACGGTGTCTTTTGTTGCAAGCTGCGGGTCGCGCTACCAACATAATTTCTGTTGGATGCAATCTCACGAGCAAGGTGCCTCTGCGGAGAGACTTTCTGGGAGCACTATAGAAGCGGTGGATCTATTTTTCGGTTTCGCTGCCCACGCGCGTGACGGGGCGAAAAGGGAGGAGAGGTGACTGGGAAAGGGCGAAGGTCGAGGGACAGACACTCGCTTTCGCGCTTCCTCGCCTTGTCCCCCTCCTCCTCCCCTTCCCCCTTCCCCCCGTGCGTCGATGGCGCCCGCCGCACCCAGGCGCCAGCGAGGCGGCGGCGGCCGTGGCGGCGACGCTAGCGTCCGGCAGCAATATATCAGGATTAACCCGGACCACGGTGTCGCTGTTATATTAAACTGTCGGGCAGATGTCCTCGCCTCATATACGTGTTGCCCGACTGCCAGGACAAAACGGCTGCACGAAATATGGGCGACCATGTTTTTCGTGACCAGCCTGTTTGTAACTTGTTCCCTCCGAAGTGTCGTGAAAATCTGCTCCCGCGGTGCCATGGCAACGGGGCGTCTCCACGTCGGCGGCGAGAGGAGGCGAGGCGGCGGAGGCGGCGAAGGAGGAGGGCCGCCGAGCGCCGAGAGGAGCTTTGGGGTGGGGGAGGGGGAATTTGGGCACCGCAGAGGGATCAGGAGGCCTTTGAACGAAGGAGTGGCCCGAAAGGGTTCGCCGATCGACCAGGGGACACACACGGATTCGAGAACGGTAAGAGAGATTGTGGAATGGGTCTTGGTTTCCTGTCTCCAACCATTCTACTGTAAATGGTTTCTCTCATCTATTCTAAAAAAATTCGCTATTTTGGACATTGAGGGGAATGTGAAAAGGCAACCCCAGATATAGTCCAAACTCAAGAGATGTTACGAAGTGCGCACTTGGTTGTAGAAATGAGAATCAAAATATCCTAAATTGCTTGCGCAAACAAACACTCACGTCCTCACATTGACAAATTATGTCCAAAGAGATTTAGCATGCCCTCTAACGGATCCTTTAACGGATGCCAGAATTTTTTATCTTCGATGTATTGGTCCTCATGTACAAACCTGGCATTATTTACTTTCTTGTCTTACTACATAAGTAGTAAATAGAAAGTACTGTAACCCTGTATCGAAAATTACCGATTTTTCGACAGAAAATGTATTTTTGTCGTACACTGGTAAAGAAAAAGTGTGTAAACCTTGATCCAATACGTTCCTCTAACAAGTTGTGTTGTCATGTTTTATAGATCTTTTATTCATTTAATCGTTTGGTGGACACACTCCAGACTGTCCGTATACAGACAAAGCTACTTTCAGCACTGCGTCCACAATTTTCTCCAAAACGAATATTCCCCGATCGACCTGAGTGAATACGAGGCACTGATAGTTTGTAACAATATTTTGGTTCTTAGAGATACTTCTCAAGAAGATTCTGCATTTTAAACACTTTCTAAAAACGACTGACAAGTTAAAAAAATACTTTGTCCTCGCATAGCGCAGAAAAGCTAACAAGAATGGCGAGGATATCATTTATTTTCTCTAAAAGAACTGCGGGATTCATTTGAATTTTTCAAAAATTGCAAAAGTTAATTTTTTTCATCGTCATCCTGCAATTACAATATTAATTATGATATAATATTTTCCTGAGTGAAAAAAGTTTGCTGACCGAAGACACATTAAAATAAGGTTGTTTACAATTTTTTAAATATATGAGTACTCTTTGCGTAATTCTGCGGTAAATAAAAGCAGTTATTAAAAAAATATTGTTTCAAAAACGAGTAGTTTTCGTGAAATGTCTGCTTGAAACTAATGCAATTTATAAAAAAGAACGTTTTCTCAAAAATTGCATTAATTTTTTTCTTATACTTTATTAACGGATAGAACAAAGGACGGTGAAAAAAATGCACAGATTTCATTTTCATTTCTTTCTCTGAATTTTTGAAAATAGCGTTAGTTAAAAATGTGTTAACGTTTGCGCTGCCAGGTTCACTAATCAAATAACAAATCAAAAAACTCGTGTGGCGACGACGGACGCGCGGCGCGAGCGCTGTGTTCGCGGAAAACGCCCCCTTCCGGCCACGGACACTCGCTCTCTCCAGGACAAGCTCTAAGCTCCCGATCGGTTTCCTAGCGTATATGGTAGTGTAATACATCGACTCACACGCTGATACCACGAGCCTATTTGAAGGTCATGCGCAAGAACATGGTAGCCCACATAAGGCTCGTTTCGTACCAACAGAGATGCTACCGTTAATGAAAAACATAGCTACAATTTAATTTCGTTTAAAAATTTATTTAAGAACCACTTGGCTTCATTTTCTCGAGAAGTACAGTGTTTCAAGCTACAGACGTTCGTTTTACTATATATTTCTCAGGTACAATTCATACCTATTCTTTTCATTTGCAAATCATGGGTTACTCTGTGTTTGCCCTATACTCTTCTTCTGTTTCTAGTAACGATTGATCCTTTCACCTATCTCATTTCTGCCCCCATTTCGTTCACCACCAGCGCTCGCGTTCTTGTCACAGACTGAACGCTTCCTTTCCCAGCTGAAGCTCATTTAGCCTGAGGCTTCTATAGTCAGTGGAATTGCCTAAGTGTCCTTAAAATATACTATTTCGTTGTATATTTTCATATTAAAATTTGTTCAAACACAATCGCCATGATCAATAATCAACCTCGAGTGTCTTGGCTAACGTCCAGTGACTCTAACCACTGAGGTACCGACACCACCAATTCTATAGATTCTGGGAAACTTCTAACAGGTTAGGGACATGTATGTTAAACGATGATCGTTACATGACATTCGATTTTCAACACCCTGTCACTTTATTAGAGGGGCTAATTGGCTGTCTAGTTGGGTTTTAAACCATCTGTATTTAAAAATGTGATATTTGTCATCAAGTTACTTTCGGATTTGTTTATCAATTTTCGTAGTGAGCAGGAAAAAAACATACATTTTAATACGTAATTTCGTTATTATTAACAATGATTGTTAATAATAATATTAAATTGTTGAAGTAGATAATATATATTAATATGAGATGGAATTATTTAAAATTTGGGTCATTATAAAGAATAGTGACTTTGTTAATTTTACTGGTTTACAATAAATTATCGCTTAAGTTGTTTCCAATGCTTCGGTAAAAAGCCCTTAGTGTTTTGTACTGGAAATGTTAAAGAATACATCCTTTCTCGTTTTTATGTTCAAGGTCTCTTTGCAAAGAATTGCACATTTATGAAAAAATCTCCCTGTAAACTGGGATTTGAGCACGAGACCTGGCCAGAAATAAGTGTATAAGGCACAACCAGTAACTGTGAGGTAAACTTCGCTTTGTAGAAGCTCTTTGCGAATAATCCCACACAAAAAGGTGAAATCTGCTTAAACGCTTCAAGTTTTCCAGAGAGAGAACGAAAGAAGAAGGAAGTCGGTTCACCTGAAAGTCTCCTCAAGAGAAGAAAAGTCGTTTGCTCTGAATATCCCTTTCTCGTGTTGGTGACCCTACCCCATTGAGTCTATCGCTTTTCACCACGAAAGAATCACTTTACTATGCACCCTCCTTAATACTGAAAGTGTTTATTTCATTCCCCTCGCGAACCCTATTCAAAAACAAGACCATTAATACGTGCAATTGACACTAATGTCTGCGAACTTTGTGAATTTTACCCTCTGCGATTGATGTATCACCGTTTTGGCCCGTCTCTGCAGAATAAATTCTATATTATGGCTGTCAAAACCAAAACGCGATAAATTACTCTTTGCCAATTAATACTTGAGCTCTCTCGCTGAGGTTGGGACAACAGGTTGCGTAAGGAACAGGGTGATCCGAAAGCCGAGTCGCGGCAACCAAGCTCCCTGAAAGGGGATCTGCGGACGTTGCTTTCATGGAGTGATTTATGACCTGCAAGTTTAGACACGAAACATCCTTGGCGTGTAAGATACATCACTGATTGCATTGTGGAAACATAAGGCGGGTTTCTACCGAGAAAGGTGCTTGAAATAAACGTTGTCTCTGTGTGTGATGTTTTGAAGTAGAAGACAGAAGATTTTTTATGTATTTGAGAAAGAGGAGACAAATGAGCGAATTCTATAAAAAATAAGATATTGTCTAATCTAACTTATAATGCAATGTTATTCTGTTGATGTGATTGTGTTATTGTGTTGTGCTGAAGAATCTAATTTAAAATATCAGATCATTTCGAATTTTAATTAATGATGCCGAGTTACAGATTGTAGAAAATAGTTGCTATAGGTATCGTACGAATTATATTACTATACATTTCCACATGCCTCTCTCGACTTTTACGTACAACGCCTAGACAATTTGCAAATGAAAACGGCCCAAAAAGTGTTATCGTTTTAATATAAAATAGCAATCAATGTAAACAAAAGTAGTGTCACCAGCAAAAAATTAAAACGAAAACTCTCAGCAGAAACGTTATTTTGTTCCACGTCAAATTTTATAATGTTGGAATACACTTTGGAATGGAATGGTTCGAACAATAACAAATCATTTATATAACTCTGCATAGAACGTTGTGGTATTGTGCTGCCTTGAAAGGTATCTTATTTATAGGTTTACGCAGTTCGCAGCCTCCATTCGATTGGTAGTTTGGCCCCATTATTCCGATTGGCCCGCGGTGTTGATTTAGGAAGGTGTCGCGCTCCTGATCCAGAGCTTGGGACTTGTTGCGTGGCAGGTAGTTTGGCGCAAACAAATAGTGTTATTGACATGCCGGCTGCAGCAATCATCGAATGATTTGCATTTCTGCAGCGCAATGGAGCGCGTGAGCGAGGTGAGTTATGCGTGGCCGGTAATGGAGAGCGATGCGCACAGGGCCACGCGGCGGCCTTCGCCTCAGCCATCGGCGCGCGACCTCGGGCACGCCCGGTGCCTCCGCACAGCACTGCTTTGCCGCCGGCGCAAACGCTGCGGCTAGCGCGTGCTGCTTTCTCGCATTGTTTCGAAATTTGAGATTTTCTGAAATTGAGAGAGTTCAGAGAAAATGAGATTTGCACCATTAACGTAAGCGAACGAGGACGAATTATAATAAAAGAAAACTTTGAAAATGTTGTTGACGCTTCAAGTAAAGTGGCTTCGAAAACTAAAATATCCGTTTCAAACTCAAGGGGCCCCGAGTTCATTTTAATGGATCCGGGAATATCAATTTTAGAGAAAATCGACTAAACAATTTTGGCACTAGCGTCTGTGCACCACTGGTTCCCTCCGTTGCAAATAATACTAGTTGTGATATTTTTCTCGCAGACGTTTGGGCAAAATTTCTTAATTTGATTTGCTTGCTTGCTTGCTTGATGACGCGTCACTTGATAAGGTCATTGGTCCCGTAAGTGTAATACATATTTTATCGCGGAAGATGGCGGTGATCTTTGCCCGCTGAATGGTGAGATCCGCCATCGATCCACCGTGTGCTAGTGGGGTTTCCCTGAACCAGGTATCTACCACTAGCGGGGCACCGTCTCAGCCGGAAGGGTGACGCCCGCGTCCATGGCGAAGTGCCGACGTTCGTCGCCATTCGGTCGCCTGAAGATGTAATGCTCTTTCCTCCAGAAATTACGCCCTGAGGAAGGTCGCAGAATGCGACCAAAACTTCGCGCACCTTCGCCATGGACGCGGCGTCACCGACAGCCTAGTGAATACTGACTCCGGCCGCGGAAGCCCAAGCTCTCAAGCTCTAAGCTACCGATCGGTCTCCAGCTGTGTGTTTGAGTAAGGGTGAGGATGAGTTAAGGAAGGGGAAGGAAAGACCCGATCCGTGGCCCGTTTGTGAGGGTACTGCTCCGGCATGCGCCAGGTATTGAACGGTAAAACCACTGAAAACTATCGATCAGAACAGCCGGCTGCTAGATTTCTCCTCTAGACAGCGACTGAATTCGACCTAGCTATCTGTCTAGTATAGAAAAGCCTCCCATCATCGGGTCTCGAACCTGGCATAGGCACTGCATTGACGTCAGTTGATGACGAGAGCCACAACTCCCGGTCTAAATTTGCAATTTTTGAAAATTCAGAGAGTTAAACGAAAATGTGATCTGCTCTCTTATCTTAAGCGCCATTTTACGCTATCCGAGAACAAAGTTTGACCGAAACATTTTGAGCTATTTTTTTAGAAAGTTGAGGTCGAGACCTTATTTGAAATAACAGCAAAAATCTATATTTTCTTTAAATTGATAGACGGGTATGAATTTTCGAGAAAATCGACTGAACGGTTTTGGCACTAGCTTTGATCTGACGGACAGACGTTTTTTCTATCGAAGCCTCACAAAACAGAGATTCTGACTTCATAACGTGCTAGAAGAAGTAATTTACTGTATATAGAAGATTTATCCTCGTTTTCGTTACCAGGGCCCAGCAATAAAAGTTTTTCTGTCGCCATTATCCGGCGCACAATTACAACACTTTCCCTTTTTACGAAGTGAGGGTAAGAATGTAAAAACACTAATATCAATTCAAATATTTTGAAATTTACAATAAATATTCACGATTTAAACTGAAATTCGTATGTGAAGTTATCTCACCTGCCGTCAACTAGTCAAGAGAAATTTCTATGTACTTATTTATTTTATTTCAGTCATTACTTAAAATAGTCCATGTTTCAAATTATTCTTAATATTTAATTGGAACCTTTTAGAGTTGTTCTTTAATTCACCGTAAAATATTGCACACAAATATTTTTTATTATATTACATCTATTTGCTGGTAGAATATTGATATTATCTAACTCTCGCGCCATTGACTGAATAACTAAATTAAAATCTATAAAGCCCGAGCAAGTTACTTTAATCTCTTCATATTACTTTTAAGATATAATTTCTAAATAATTGATAAAATGGAATTTATGTAAACTTATGAACACATTTCTAGTACATATTGCATAAGTTAAATATATTGCAGCTAACTACAGTTGTATGACCAGTTCAATGATACTTCAAATTGTGAACAGAATGTGGTTTAAGTTATTTAAGGTATTCAGATACTAGTTATTTGGGCATGTAGGTTAATTTACTTCACGTTTGAATCTCTGTGTCTATCCATATGTAAGAGTTTCATATTGTTTTATATTCTTTTCTAATTAATCGGTATTCCAGTATTTAATAAAACATTGGTATAAGTGGAAAGCAAACAATAACCTTAAGACAATCCAATTGTTTCCTTTCCTGGATAGATTTTTCAAACTAAACTTCATTAAAATGTCAGAGTTAAAACAAGATGTGCGTTGTTTCTCTGATCGTATATTTTTATTTACAACAAAAAGGTAACCAAATTATAACACTGTTGGTGATTACTTCTCTATAGAAACAGCCTCTTTCTCATGCCAACATACTATCTGATAAATATTTGTCACCGTCCCGGTCGGAGTAATTATTTTTGTAAACAATTTAAACATCTGATATTATAATTCTACAACATGTACAGCTTACTTAAACTTATTATTGACTGCTAATTATTGCAAAATAAGTTCCGCATTCCAACTAAAAGCATTGAAACCAACTCCCTCCACACCTCATCCACAATAACTTTAACCTGATCCCTTCCTCACCTTCCTCGCTCTAGCAAACTGATGTAGCCATAGCGATGGCTCCGCGCCGGCCTCCTCTCTAGCGATGTGTTTTTTCTGTGTGCGTCCGCAGCGCTGCCGCAGCACGACCCCATGATCGAGGGGGTGCTCTCCACCTACTCCATTGGGGACACCGTGCGCGCCAACTGCACCTCGGCCAAGTCCAACCCTGCCGCCACGCTGGAGTGGTTCATCAACGGCATCAATGTGAGTGCTTGGCTCCGCCCGCGCCCCCCGCCCCCACCCCCGCCCCCGAAGGCGCTTAGGCCCTTGATGGATTGATCGCCTGCATTGCACCTTACTCAATCTTCTGGTTACTCCGGCCAATCCGGGACCACGTGTGGGGGGAAAATGTTTCGTTCAGAATCAAAATACTCTGCACACCTTCCCTCCTAAAATGCGTCTTCTAATAGTTATTAAAACATCAAATGTAGAACATTTATTTAAAAATGAATCTATGGTGTTATTTGTATTAATAATTCTGTGAAATATTTTTTTGCAATTATAACAAATGGTGGCTGTTCTCAAAGTTCTCCATAATACTCGTCGTATTTGAACATTGTGAATTATTTTGTTTAATTGTGAAATATTGACTTTTTGCTAAGAGATGTTTTGCTTTACATTTGGTAAGAGATGTCATCATTATATTACTTTAATCATTTAAAATGTAAAGAAAAAATATGTAAATGAGTGGCTAAAAATGTATTTTGAAAAATTGATGTCGTTTTCTCAGCCTGTTACAAAGACTTCTGAGTCGTTAGATAATGTTATAAGGTTTCTGTTTTCAATTTAAAAGATATATTTATCATTTTTCTAAGAAATTGAAACAGAACAAAGACAACCCATCAGTGAATAAAACGTAAACCCCTAAAATCTGTACGAATGAATTAAACTTTAACCCTCTAAAATACATCATACGTGAATAATTTTCACTTTTTGTACGGTTTACACTTGGAAGATCGAAAATAATTTGGAGATACATTTTTTGGTGTAAATGATTGGAAACGTTGACAGTGGATAGAAGTACGCGATTCTTCACAAAATGCATCACGCAAGTGCATCGCGCGGTATTGATTTGTATGGTCCGATGTACAACATCGCAAAAATTTCGGTCATTCAGTCACTTTTTAAAATTTGTACACAAAATATTCGGGCAAAACCGAAATGAGTGCCGTCTACATTTGCATTAGCGGTCACTAGATCTTCTTACATTAATTCTAGTAAAGTAAAATTATATAAACAAATTAAAGAAATAAATGCTGTACTTTACTCCAATATCTAAACACATTTTAAATAAATGTATCAAATTAACAATTCTCAACGAATAAGCAGCACTACATTAATTTGTATTCAACGTAGTAGAACCCTTAAGTGTTACCTCGGCTGAAATAATTAAATAAATATATTTATAACCTATTACATAAAACATTTAATAAATTTTGTAGATTAAGTCTATTCAGTTGATCAATTATAAACTATTTATTTTCTTCATTAGACTTTCAAAAATTTAAATACATATGCGTCTGAAACCTTTACAGTTTCATTCCATCTATTCCACAAATTTGCATAGCCATTTTCAAATAAATAAAATGAACTTGGTTTTATATCGCAGTATGCAAACTACATTTCCCTGAAGTTGGTGACCACAGGTAGACTTTGTTTACAAAATAATGTTTTCTTAAAACAAATCATGTTTTAGGTCTTGAATGAAAACTGAGGACCGAATTTAAGAGTGTCTTTTGAATCCATCGCAGGCTGCTCCTCCACGGCTTCCGCGCTTTTTTAACGGGAGCACCGGCGCGCGCTGAACTTTAAAGAACCCATTTTCAGACTTCATCGTTTGTTTGTATGGTTTTTATAACTCCGCCTGAGATATTAAGAGTTTCTATCAGTTTTAGGGACACTGTATTTTATTCAAACACAATTTAAAAATTTCTTTCCGAACTGTCAATATTTACGTAAATGATAGTCTGCTACGGTATAGAGCTTTAGCCCGCGAACCATTACGACAAAGTTTGCTCCGTAAAAAGAGGAGAGTAGAACGAATTGTGGAGAATGTTTCTAACGGATTTGGTGTTTCTGTGAAGCTTCAATTTCAGAATATTTTGTCAAAATTATAAGTATACAATATTCATCTTTCGATTCTATACTCGTAAATATACACTTATAGAAACGTTTGCTTATGTTATTACTTAGTATATTAGTGCTCTAATCTTTAAAAGTATGAGATTAAATTTGAAATTTAAGGGTATGACGTTTTATCGGGAATTAGTAGTAAAAGAGATTATTTATTACACTATTTAATATATCCAGTTTTAAAAATAATGAAGAGTTTTCCACAGGGTTCCACAGGGTATGTTATATTGTTCTCATAAATTTCTTTACAACAGTGGAAACAGTTGAACTCTCATTTTTATGTTTTGATGCAAAGATGTCAGAAACGTCTGAAAACTCTTTCAAATGAATGTGTGAGTTACGTGTCATACGTCATATAACTCGTAAAAGCGTGCAAATACGCAGCAATATAGAAATGTGCTAAACAATGTTTATCCCTAAAACCATTAAAATAAAACCAACTACTATTATCAACAATACGTGAACTATAAACGTTTCAATCCTAAACCATTTCTGTTGCACGGAAACACGCTCATGAAATCGTTTCCCACCATTTGAAACGACATTTGTGGTCTTCCTCTCACTGCTTCTGATTTCGCCCATCACGAGCGTGGAAAGGTGTACGGCGCTTAAGGTAGCGGCCATAACCCGAGGGCGATAAACCCGTTTATCCGGTTAGGCGGCCTTTCGCAGTCGCCCGCGTCGCGTCGCGGCGGCGCCGTCGGCAGTTTGAGCGCTTTATGGCCTGATCGGGGCGACTCTTTCGGCTCAGCCACGGAAGGCAAAGATATACGAACTCGCTTGCACGTAGCTTCTGTGTGGGAATGAGGAGGGGCGTTTTGTCTCTGCTCCGATTTTATCATTCGCTTGCGGACGGAGTGTTTCTCTTCGAATGCAATAACGACCTTTTGATTGATCGAGCAAACGTAGGATAAAGGTGAAACTTGTGAGGCCTTTTTGATGGATATTATTATTATTATTATTATTATTATTATTATTATTATTATTATTATTATTAATATTTTGTTTATTCTCAAAGTTTTTGGTTTCACATGAATACCACACATATACAATATCAAATCATGGTAACACAGACATAATTAAAATCTACATAACAAATTAAAGCATTCTAATACATAAACAAAAAATAACTGTTAATTATTATTATTATTATTATTATTATTATTATTATTATTATTATTATTAATTTTATTATGCTTCATTAACTACATGGTTTCTACAATAAAAAGGGCAAAATGTTAGATATTAATATTAAAAAAATATGTAATATATTTCTAGATTTATTTACTTATCACATAATCTATGTCAAAATACTATATTATATCCGTTACATTGCATGATAGTATATAATAACTTATTTTACGAAAATTTAAAAAAATGAAATTTATTGAAATGGAATACGTTCTAAATGTTTTACTGAAGAGTTTAGAAGGCAATAAAATAGTTTTATAATTACCGGGAAAGATGGCTCAGAGTATCAACTGTTGTCACTACAGTACCTCTGTCCGGGAGGCTCTAGGGTTTAAGTTCCGACGGAGGTAGGATTTTCGACACTAGCTACTCAGGTACGTAGGTGGAATTCATTTGTCTGGAGGAGAATTCTGGTGGCCGGCTGTTTTGATCAGTATTTTCCCTTTTGTTTCTACAATCTAGCCGGGCGAATGCCAGACCATTGCGGCGGCGATGGTGTAACGGATAGGGTACCGAACTGTTATACCCGATCGAGTTGAAACCCGATCGAAGCCGTGGATATTTAAGGGCGAAGAAGTCCTTCGTACGCCTTCCTTCGGAGGGGAAGTAAAGCCGGCTGTCGCATGTTAGTAGATTTACTTGCATGTAAAAGATCCTCAAGCCTAAATGACGCCTCTGAGTGAAATTTAAATCGCCTATTTCTCGCCCAAGAAATACCTCGTTTCTCTGCTAGTTGATGAAAGGAGCGTAGCGAAATTTGCGTGGTCAGACGGAAGAGCGGGCCTGATGGCCCGAGTCTCGCCACGTAAAATACGGCAAATTCAATTCAATTCATTACCCTATCAAACGGTACTCGAACTGTGCGCTATGTTTCCTTCTTCTTCCTTGTCCTACTTCTTACAGACATACACTTACACCCCCACGCATTACCCTATCACGCATGTCATGGAAAGCAGTCGGGAACTTTGAGCTTGTCTCGGCTAAGGCGGTCACACACTGAAGGAAAATATCTGGTTGAGGAAAATCCCGTCTTGCCGACGTAGGTTGGTGCCGGATCACACCAGCCAGCAGACGAAGATCAGCGCTACCTCTCACGATCACAACTTCACTGCACTTAAAGAACTAATTACCTTGACGTGCCCAAAACCACAAATCAATCAGTCATTTTATTATAATTTTCAACATTAATTACAAACTTTGTGGAATTTTGAAAAGAATGATTGTTATTACGTGTATCTCTTCAAGACCTCATACATTATGTATATTGAGTTGAATATTTAATATTTATCAGTTTCACTTTATGCTCTACAACGATACATAAAGTTTCATTATATATTTGCAAAAAACTCTATTAATCATATGCAGAATATTTTATAGCTATTGGAAGTTACATTTTATAAATATTGAATAAAAAAACAAATGTGACCAAATATGAGCGAGAAAAATTCTATTGAGAGTAAAGTACAATGGGACTAAAGACAAATTCCACCATCGCAGAAAAATCTCGGTGAGAAATAACCTACTTGTGAAGAGTTTTGTCGCGGGATTGTTTAAAGGGCATATACCTCATATTTTAACTTAAAAAGAATAAGAAGAATGAAGACAGAAGTCCATAATTCAGCTCATGATGAAAGGAATAACACCCAGTTCTCCCCGTCGCAGCGGCAATTCATTTTCAATTTACTTCGGGAAACGAATTATGTTTCTTCAGTGGTTTATTGCGAAGCGTCAAATCTAGGGTACGCCGTTCACCGAAATCGTATATATAGCGGGGCGTCGAGGCGGGAGGCTGAGCGAGAAAGAGAAATTGGGCGTCGGAACTTAAAACTTCCCCGCGCGCGGGGATAAGTCAACTTAAAGTGGTTCTTAGGGGGCCACGGTGGGGGGGGGGAGGAACCAATACAGCGAAGGGGTTGGCGCGCGCAGTGAGATATCGGTGTAATTGACCAAGAGCC